AAAATGTACCAAAATTGTTCTTAATTGCTTCTTGATCACTTGGGTCTCATTAGAATATTTTTTTCTAATTTTTCTACGTTAAATATAATTTTTTAAAGGCTTAAATGTATTTTCTCTAATTTTCTAGTAAAAAATTATAATAAATAAATTAAAATTCACAAAAATGAAAAGTTTACTCCTCTGAGTTCTTTGGACTTAGGGAAATTTAATAAAAATGTAAAAAAAAATTTTTGTAATTAAAACATATTTTCTATTTAATTAAATCTCTAAAAAATAAATAATTAAAATGATTAAAATATAACTTGAAAAATCATAAAATTTTGCCCAAGTGGTTCTCTGACCTAAGTGAACCTCTAATAATTTTCCCATGAACAAAATTTTTTCTCCGATTAGTTAAATAAATTAATATTGAAAACTATATTTTCTAAGTTAAAATAATTATTTAAATTAAATTAAATTTTGAAAAATCAAATTTTCTCTTCTGATGTTTTAATTGACCCATGAGTAGGGTACTCTAAAAATTTCAAAGTCATTTGAGTTATATTTGATAAGTTATGGAGTGGAGAACCCCAAGAGCAAAATGGTAATTTTGGATTTTGATGACTTAATTAAAATTTAGGATTAACTAAAGGGCAAATGTGTAATTTTGATCATAATGAACTCTTTTAGATATTTGAATTATAATGGGTTGAGAGGTAGAACACAATTTGCCACATTTTCATTGCAAAGGTAAAATTGTAATTTCATAAATTATCATGATTTGGAAGTCAATTAAAATTAGGTGATTCTAAAGTTGTGGGCTTATGTTAGGAAGATAATAATTCACTTATTTGAAGCCCATAATTGATGATTAGATGATAGCATGATCTTTTGATAAGAATATATTCCACTTAAATTAATATTTTGATAATTGTAAATTGATCCATGAAAGTGTTAAGGGCTTAGTGTAAGCTAGGCTTAATATTTGAACTAGTTTAACGAAGTTTAGAAAAGATAAGATAACTAATTATGAACATTTTGAAAACACTACAAGCCCAACTTTAGTGGTGGGTACAAGATTTTTAATAACTTAAACTTACCTTAGGGGCATCCACTTACATAACTTTTAAGTAAAATATTGTTTGAATATTTGAAGTACCCCACACTTGAGATAATTAAAATATCAGGTTCACTGAGCATAGGGTATATTAATTCATTGAAACTAAATTTAAAATTTTGGATGATCAATTGAACAATATAATAGGTTCAAATGAACTCAAAACATTTTAAAAGGGTTTAAAGGTTGGTAGAGATTGTTCCCTAAATCCTTTTATGACCTTTTAAATATTTTGAAGGACAATTGGGCCTATTATTCTTTGTTTTAGAAAATCATCCATTAAGACCTTTAGGGACTCACCAAGTTACGGTCTATGGTTTTGTAGCTACACCTTCGTCCGGTCTTCCTATTCTTGCAATTTATTTAATTCCCTTGCAAAATTATATATACGTTGCAAGTTCTAACATTTCAGTGAGAGCAGTGAGAAGATAACAGGTACACATTTACATTTTGTAATAAAAATTTTGTTTTCTTTAGAGCACTTCCTTACATGTACCTATTTACTTTGCTCTGTAAAACTTGAAGCAAATCTGCATGTGACATCAAAACAAAAACAACTTTTCTAAAATCAATCAACCATTATCAAAATTAAACAACATTTTCAAAACTAAAACAAAAATAATATAACTCATAACTCGTCCTTTTAAATTTACAAGAGTCTTTTGAATGAGGTAACCCACGGTTGCTAACGAGATCTCGTCGATTTATATGAGTTTATTAACTCGTTTAAGCTAAGTAAATTCAAAAGAAAATAGTGATACCAGAATGAGGGAACTGTGGGATCCTAATTGGTGTCACTCTAATCAGCTTTAAACCCCTCCTTCCCCCCACCACCCTCCCTTACCCCCATTTTGAACTGAACTTGAACCTCTAGATTTTACACCTGCTACTTCGTCGAAGAGCTTGGAGCTAACTCTGTGGGTAGCCTTCTGCAATAACACGAGGATCTACAACAACACATCTTTTCCCTAGAATTAAATAACACAAATCATAGGACTTCGAGGTTGTCTGCTTAGTGTAACATAAATCCTCACTTTTTCTTTAGACCTTTGTATGATCATATCCTGCAATCTAAGCTCAAACTCGTTCTAGGATTCCGAGTTTGTTGTTTGGTACTACATAAATCCTTCTATCTTTCAGGCTATTTGTGCAACCATATCACACAAATGTAAGTCATAATTAATAAAATTGGAAAGATGAAACATTCAATAATTTTCTCTCGAAGCTTAAGCCAACCCATAAGGTAGCTTAGGAAGTCATTGAGATTCTCCTCAGGATCTTTGACAATCCCTAGTTTTTGTTCATTTGGACTCCATAATAATTGTTCCAAATTTGAGTCTTTCAATTTTTGACACTCCTTGGTCTGATCTTTGAAAAGTCCTATCCTTTAAAATTCTTGAAGACAATATTTTCTGATCTAAATTGAGAGTTTTCTTAAGTGAATTTGGGTCATTTATGATGTAATTGACTATTAGGGCTTGCCTTTATATAGAGCTTAAAAAACCCAAGTAATATAAACCATACCTAATTCTTTATATTAGATAGAGGAATTTGTAGGTCAACAAAATATGATTTTTCATAGATTAAAACGGATGTCATAAATTTTTTAGTTTATTTAATTGAGCAACACTAGCAAGTAGTGTATTTATCCTTCGAGGTAGATATATATTTAAACTTGAGACGCTGAGAACTACCCCTAGACCTTATATATAAGGGTCATGAGCACAAAAATCCACGAGACTCTAATCATTCTATTAAATTATGACTATTAAGATTTGATTTAATGCCTTAAAAAATTTTTTGTCCTTATCGCAGCTGTCACTATCAAGTAGCAAAAAAATAGGGAAACTTAATATATACAACATGAATCTCAAGATAATTTAGATGTCTTCGACAATTTGGCATGTATCAACGTGAGACTCTCTCAACAACTCCCAAATATCCTCGAAGATATTCAAAAATAACTAAAAAACAAGTAGGCTGATCAACCACCATAAGGCCCAAGCAACTGCCTCTCTCAAAATTGGCTGTATTCTTTGAATGAAGGCCAACTGACATCAATGCAAAATAGCCGATCGAAATGAGTTGGGTTGGTTAGCTCAAGGACTTGTCGTCAAGAAGGTCAGAGTAAATCAAAGGATTCATAAATTAGTTACAAATACAAAAAAGGTACAACAAAAAAATAATAAGGACTTGTAACATCTTTATTGAAGCTTGGGTAAATATGTAATTTTCTACCTTTTAGTCCTCTATATTCTATAGATATGGGGCCAATAATCTCTAGACCCATACTCTATAAAAGAACTCTCTTCCCTTGTCTCTTGTAACATTCTATTTTCAATATATAAAATGGGCCATACAGGTCTTGAATACCTCAGTTCGCCTCTATGGTCATTTATTTTTTTCAAGAGCATTCCTTAGAAGACATATTTTGATCCCAATGAGACATAAATTTCATGGGAAACTAAAAAGAATAAAAGTGTAAAAACCAGCTTAAAATGTGCCTCCTATCGCATAAAATTAAACCATAACTTCACCTAACCCGGCAACCAATTCAAACTTAATTAGCAAGCAACCTTCATATTTATTTGTCATTACTCTGACCGGATGACGTTGGATCGTTGCCAAATATAAACTGGCACATCGCAATCATTAAATATATATATATAAATAAAAAACATCATTAATTTAATTAATGTCATGATGACAGCTTTTGTTTGTATTTACTAGTAAATATAATCACATGCATAAACAATTGATGCAGGCTTTAATCAAAGCCTATTTAAACAGAACATCTCAGTCAAGCAGACGCCGTTCATATGGCATCCTAGGCTATTTATTTAAATCATTTGCGTCTATGTTCATCAGCTCTTCATTTTCATTTTTTTCACATCGTCTATGTTAAAGGGAGTGCTTATTGTGTACGGATAACACACGTAAATTTATGTGCTGTGTTTGATCTGAACCACTGAAATATATATATATATATATAT